TCTCTGTCCTCTGCAGAGCTCAGGAGTGAGGCTTTGAAACTGGGACACCAGGGATGCCACCATCCCCTCCTGCTCCAGGCAACACCAGGAGCTCTACTATATGACTGCATTGCAAAGTAGGTTGACCTTGGTTAAGTGGGTCCGGAAAATCTTCCTTGTTTTACCAGAGTAACTGTCTTTCGTGTGTCCTCTAGCTGCAGCCTGCAATTTCTGAAGTCACCCCTTGGTTCTTTGGTACATTAAACAATGGCATTATGCTGTCCACTTGGCAGCATTTAGGGCTCACTGCTGGACTCTGTGAATATTTAACATTGCCTTTCTGTCCCTGCTTCTTCTGAATTGTCAGACATACACAGCAAAACTAGTCAGTCCTTGCTCCTCACCAAAACAACAAAAAAAGTGCACCTCACCGTGGTTTGGAGCAAATGCCTGTCCTCTGCTCCCCCTGACTGCTGGGTGAGGAAGCTGTTAACAATGTCCTCACCGGGGACAAGGGTTTCAGTCAGCCTGAGTTGGCTGAACAGTGTCTGGCTTGTTCCTGAAAGGGACTGGAAAATAGAACTGACACTTGGCCCTAAGACCCTGGATGTTGGCTGCTTCTTCAAATCCTGCCTCTGCTGGCACCAAACAAGTCATAAACTCACAGCAGAGTTTAGGTGAGTTGGAACCCTTGTATGTCTCTGGTCCAACTTCCTGCTCAAATCAAGGCTAACTCCAAACTAAACTAGGTTCCTCAGGGCTGTGCCCAGCTCAAGTCTGAATATTTCCCACACTGAGTCTTCACAGCCTCTCTGGGCCCTCCAGTACCTTGGGAAATAATATCTTTCTTTACATCAGTCAGGGTTTCCCCTTGCAACAACTTGTGCCCGTTGCCTTTCACTGTGCACCTCTGGGAAGAATCTGGACTCCGTCTGCTTTATAGTCCCCTTAAGGCAGTGAAAAGCTGCAGGACGATCTCTCCCTTTACCTTTTTTTCTCAGCACTGAGCAAACTCCTTCCTTTATGCACATCCATGACTGCACATGCACATTAGCAGCAAGAGCAAGCCCCCCATGAGGCTGCTTTCCTAAACAACCGTCAGACCTCCACCCACAGCAAATCCAAGTTTTGCCTGATATGCCAGCCTACCACAGGGCAGTTTCCCCATCAACAAGGAGATGTTATTGTTCCTCTGCAAGCTTCCCACAGGACAGGCTCACCACCCAGCCACGTGAAGCCATCAGCAGAGAGTCTTGGCCTGAAACCCAAGCCCACGGCCCGCCTGCTTTAGGCACAAGAAACGGCAAAGACGTGCTTGTTTCTTCAGAGCTGAGCGTTAAAACTCATTTACCCTCTTGCAGCTCTCATCAAGCCAGAATGACATCTCTGGAGCAAAGCCCGGAGAATAGTTTCAGGGTGTTAAAGTCATCAGATTCCTCCATCTTGGCAAAAGGAAGTATTTTCCCCTTTGTCTCTATCTTCCCTCCAGCAGCCAACTCTGGTGAGCCCAAGAACCAAAGCTGAGTGCCACCTCTGCCATTAATGACTGCCATGATTCTGGCCACTGGTGTCCAGCCCTGGTGCCTTGCATGAGCAACTGGTGCTGCAGCTCCCCTAGAGCGGAGCAGAGTGTATGAAAGTTAACAGAGCCTGAGCTGGCACCCACTTCTCATGAGATCCCCAAGGGAGAAGGGGTGGGTGGATGGGAAGGTCCCAGTGGGTTCCTTTCTTTAGCTATGCCCCAGGCACAGGCTCGAAGACTGGAGCAAGGTGCCACTAAAGCAGCACAGGGCTGGAATTTCCCCATGAAGCTGTCTGTAGGGGAGGGAGGGGAGGCAGGTCCCACAGCCTACACTGCATTTGTGTAACCACGCTCATCCTTCCAGCGCTCCCCCAACATGAAATGGCACAACGGAACGAAACAATCAGCTGTGCAGAGGATTACTTGTTTAAAAGACCGACCGCATACCCCAAGCATCAGCATGCAAACAGGCAAAGCTCAGGAAGGTTCATTTACAGTTCATTTACAGGCAAAGTTCATTTACAGCCTAGCCTTGATGGACAACAGTTACTGTTTGTTTGGCTTTCTGTCCCATGCTGCGTCTGAAATCATGACATGGGTAATAGTGCAGAGGAATCCATATTCATTTGTGCTGCTTCAGCTGTTAAACATCAATTTTCTTAAATAAATGCTTGGGATCTTCTGGTGACTGTCTCAGTCCTGCTGGCTGAGATTGCTGGCTGTTATAACTATCCCACTTGGAGAACAACCCTCAGTCCTCTAAACAGAGCAAAATATCAGTGATTTACTCCCATCACTTGCGCTTTGTCTCCAGCTAACTCTAACAGAGTCATTCAAATACTTCGATTCAGCATGAGACCTCAATTTAGCTCTTAAATGGTAAGAGCAGAAAAGGTCTTTTTAACCTGGTATGTTATTAGAGATCTTGCTATAAACGCAGCCTCACAAGATTCTTCAGCACATTAAGAAGCTGGATCTCCATACACAGTCTTAGAAGAAATCAGCTGGAAATGACTGTGAGCACGGAAGGTGCAAAATACTTTAAATACCGTTTTATGTGCTGCACATGCGACATTAAATAGCTACAGCTCTAGCTTTTTCCAACAATATGAAAAATTGTATTATTAATCCCAGTCTTCATCTCATGCCGAATTCATTTTAAACTTACCTCGGGCTAGTTGAAGATCCTTCGGCACTGGCGGTTTCAGGAGTTGGGAATTAGCACTGTGCAAGAAAGGAGAGAGAGAGGAGAGCAATGGTGGCTTGACGTTTCCCAGGATGGGACTGTCACATGCTGATCACCGATTTGAAACGCAAGCATAACAAATGCCTTCTAATTATGTAATCTTCAGGTCACATCCCTGCATCCCCATGCAAAAATCAGGACTGTGCGGCTGGAAGAAGACGATACCGACTTTTTTCCCTTTTAATTAGAATTGCACACTGCTGCGAAGGGAGTGAGAAGCCTTGCGAACTGATGGGCAGAGGGGGCTGTGTGGTGAGAGCTGGGTGCTGATGTGGTCTCTGCTACTTTGCCAAGCTCAGAGGCTCTTAAGTACCTCCTGTGGCACCCAAGTGAGGCAGCCTGCAGCTGGGGACCGGGAGACAGGACCAGCTCCTCCCTGCTTTCTGACACCTTTAGTCTCCTATCATGCAGGGATGCCAGGGCCGAGAAGGCTCCCCTTCTTTCATTCAGAGGCCAAGGACAAAGTTGCCAAAGTAGCCGGGGCAGGGGAGCAGCAACCACCAGCACTTGTGTATTTTCTGTTGCTTGGTAGATCATTAAACATTTCCTTTGAGTAAAAATAAATAAGGGCTTGGAGGGAGGTGGGAGAGTGGGATGCAGCAGCCCTTCACTTCTTTGCTAAGGTCCTGCAAGGCTTTTTGCTCCAAAGGATGTCAAGAAAGCATGGGGACAATGCAGGTAGCCCAAGGCCAGGGGTATCAGGAAGAGGTTTGAGCCAGTCTGGTGAGCTACTCTGAAGCTGAAGAGCAGGGAGACATAAAGGAGGAGGAACAGTAACAAAAGGCAGACTGTTTTCTCCCTGAAAGACAAACATCTGCTTCAAAGATACCCTTCGGGCAGAAAACCTGAAATGTCAAACTGCACAGCCTGAATCAGTGTAATTGCTGTGCTGCACAGATTCACGCGGTGAAGTCCTAGCAAAAGAGCTGAAAGTACAGGCTCAGAGCGTAACAGAAGCCCTGTGGAAGACACTGCTACCTCTGAAGTCAAGGACTAGGGAGACAGGACACACTATTTGGTTTTTGGAGCTGGCTGTTTCAGGTGCAAAGCACAACAAAATTGAACAAAATAAAATGATAATTCTGAAGGAGTTTGCTGGAAAGTGCACTTTTGGTGGGTCAAAGATACCTGTGAATTCAGCAAACAGCTCAAGCTTGGAAAGTTGTTTTTTTTTAATAAATAAAAACACTTAGCTCCACAAATCTATGAACAAAACGTTTCAAATAGAAAGTTTCCTACAGGCAGCTTTAAGAAAAAGGGCCGAAAGGTGTTTTATTGCAACACGATCCACGAGCTGCTTTGTTTCAGATGGCCCAGCATGTTTCAGTCTGCTGATAATGTGCTGGTTTTTGATTTTGCTAAGAAACCCCAGGGCCCAAGATTTTTCTGAATTGTAGCAAAACGAGCTGGGTATTTGAAGGCACATGTGAAGGAACAGCATTTGCACATTGTGTCTGCAAATGGAGGGAAGGGCAGATATTTACTAAAACTCCATTAAATATCTGGCAAGCAAAGAGTCAACACGTCTTTTCCTGACAGCACTGCTACGTTGTGGTGGTTCTCTTTCAACTAGAAAGCAGATTTTCTGCTTCGTAAAGCAAACTCTTTAGATTCGTAATGCAGAGACCTTTGATGACCAAACACACACAAAAAAGTAGAAATAGATTTTTCATTGCATTAGACTTTCTGATGGGACAGTGGCAGAGATCAGTCTCCCCTGTGTGCTCTCCTGGCTACTTCCCTTCCTAGAGAAGAGCAGCTTTGGTGCACAGTGGAGGTCTGTCCTTGAGCAGTCTGGTACCAGAGCCTGGAGTTTATGGGCTTGACGTGTGGGAAGTAACTACCTTGTTCTGCCCCGAGCCCACTATGCAACACCTGGCTTAGGGTAAACATGAGCACTGAATTTGCAAAAGCTTCTGTGAGTGACGAGGTTTGTTTTCTGGGGAAAGTTGCAAAAGTTGAGCATAAATTAGGCTTCATTTGTTGATGACACTTTTATTTTGAAACTCAGGGAGAAAGACATTCCTAGGGCAAGTTAAAATAAATAAATAAAAAAAGGAATTCTATTCATCAACTGCTCCACTTATAAATTCACCCTATCCAACTTCATTTCTTTAAGGCTTTCACTTAGGAGACTTCAACTGATCAGTCCGAAAAGAAAAATAACCTAATTCTGTTTACTATTGACATGCATCCTCAGGAGTCATTTTTAATAAGCTGCCTTTAACCCCTGCTATTGTCCGTGCCAAATAGCTACATTTTCAACTTCTGCTTCAGTCCCATTGCTGCTGAGTCATGAAATATGCCACTCCATTTTCATCTGTAAAGTCTCCTTCACCTTCTGTCCTGTAATGACATAAATCCAGCCTGTTGAGAAGGCAATCAGATTGTGGCAGCACAGTGATGTGTGCACTATCCAGATAAGCAAATTGCCAGGAATTAGAACCTTCTCAGTGTAGTGTAAGTACCTGCCTTAACTTTCTCCCACCTTGTAGCCTGTAAAAGTTTTGACCTACAAAACACATAGGTTAGACAGCCAAGGAACGTATTCCTTTCTTTGCAAAACTGTATTTATACTAACATCCTCCCAGCATGTGACCTCTACAGGAAAAACGCCATAGTCCCAGTCATGATTTGAAGTTACCAAGGATTAAGTCCTATGAAGTTTATTCTGACTTTCATTAGGGTCTTCTTAAATATGTGCAAGTGATTAGAGCCAGTTACTGTGTGATCTTCTTGCTGTAAAATTCCATCCTCTCCCCATCCTGCTACATGCTATTATGACAAAGTGCAAGGAATTTTTTGCAAGTGCAAAACTTGTCACTATTATGACAAGTGCAAGGAATTCCCCCAGCGTCCTGCGGGGAAAAAGAAACCCAGTAACTGCTGTGTGAACTCAGTCCTCATAAACCACATACTTCTGGTCTTTGAAAGCTGTGATCAAGTTCATCATTATACCTGAAAACTGCTACAAAGAAAAAATGTCTATGCATCAGCATCCCTTGCAAATGAGGGGAAAATAACTTCCAAGATCAATTGGTGGAGATTTGTTTCCCTTAAAAAATGAAGCCACCTAACAGTCACAGCAAGTTGCTATGGTGCTGCCTATTCATGTTCTGTCATAAAAGCTACAGTGATCTGGTGGACTGACACCTATTTTGTGTGAGCAGGTGGAAACCAGCAATCCTGAAACTTGGCAAAATGGCCTGCACTGGGCTGCCGGGGAGTGGTGCATATTAACAGTCACAGAACAGTGTCAACAAGGAGAAGTCTTAATTCCCTGGTGAAACAGCAGCGGCTGGCAAAGATTGGACCTCTGCTGCCAAGGGCGTCTCTAAATCAGCATTTTAGTTAACTGAAATCACAAGTTCAAAGCAGAACCAGCTGGTTTTTTGCCAGCACTGTGCTGGCCCATTTGGGATAGGCAGGAGAGTAGAGGCATCACCCTATGATTTTTGAGAGAAAATGCCTGTAAATCTACGTGTGTGACCTACTGCTGAATGCCCTCACTGAAGTGATGAGTACTTACAGGTTTCGACTTCGTGCAGAATTCATGTCTGTCATTTCACATGACAGCAAAACACAGAAGCTCTGCAGCAGATTTTAACATGCCACTGCACTAGAGGCATAACTGAACTCCATTTGTTCTAAAGCTTTGAAATTAATGTATTTAGTTTTTCCCCAAACATTTGATTTCGTCATACAGGTTGCCATTCTGTATTCAGGTACATTCTGTAACATATATTTCACTTGGTGTCTGATCATTTAAAACCAGAATTGGTCATCATTCTAGTACTATCGTGGTTACGATTTTTGGTAAGCAGAGCAAGACAGAGCTTTTTTTTCTGATGGAAGACCACATATTAACAAACACGTGTTTTAGATTTATTTCAGATACTGGACTGGAGAGGTACTTAAAGAAAAAATAAACCTAAATCAAACCTAGCAAATTTGTTAGAGAAGTCATTTAAGGAGAAGAACCATGAAAATTCTCATGTCATTTTTTTTATGGTTAATTTTTCTCATTAAATCTGCTTTGTGGATTATGAAGTGAGTATCAATGTCTTGTTTTGGGAAAAGATGGTATCTTAGCCATTCAAAAACCACATCTTTATTCAAAAGAAATGAACTAAGCTGATGTTTATGAGTGGCACTAAAATATTTTATTCCAAGTGATGAAAATAAACCTCCACACTTTCCCATCTCTGAAGTTTGTACTTTACCTCAAAAATATGTAAACACAAACTGCAAACTATCAGTGCAAGTCAGTGCTGTATTTCTGCGTGCATCTGTAGGCAGACAGCTTGGAACGACTGCTCTGAAAGGAGTCTGAATTGCTCTATTTCTCTGAACTCTGCCTGAGCCCAGAGACCTGGTTAAAAAAAAAATGGGTGCGTGGAATAACCATCCTGAAAAGTTCTGACTGGGAATGAATCACAGACTTTTGATAGATCTGATGAAAAGGATACAACTAGGATCAGCAATATCAGATACCCAGTGCAAGTTTCACTGGTAGCAAAAGAAACCTACTCCCACGCTGGGTGAATTTTATTTGGATTTTACAGGTTATGAAATCAAAACTAATATACAAGACTACATGACTCTTCCACTTCAAAAACACCTGTTTTCATTGAATGTTCCAATGTACTTTGCTCCATTTGGAAACGTGTCGGTTCCAGCTCCATAAAACATGTTGTCTTTGAACTTGCCTTCATAAACCGCCCCAGAAGGATGTTCTATCCTTCCAGTGCCATTCATCTGCATTTAGTAAGAAAAGAAGGATAAAGAAAATGGTTAATGTTTATGCTCTCAGTATTATTTCCTTTCATTACAATATCCTTTTCAGATGCCTTTGAGTCTGCTGCCATATTCAGATGATAATAGAGAGGAAAATGGCTACTCTTTCAGATTTTGACAGGTTCCTGTTTCTTATAAGGATTTCAGGCAAGAGCTTAGAAGTTTTTGGCCAGCCCTAGTGTACAGTAAACCCCTCCTCTGCTGGTAGTCTCACAGGATCTTAACAATTTATGCAGCATGGAACTGCTGTCCTCAGCCCTGCAAATAACTCATCAACCCTGACAGCCTGAGGGGTTAATTAAATTTTCCAGAATTTCTTTCTGTGGATCAAGGCAGAAGAAGTCTTTCATTTGTTCAGCCAAGGATTCTAAGCCATGCCTAGGGATTTAAATCTGTGCTGTAAAGCAGTTCCAAGCTATAATCTTAATTCCTATCATCGGACCAATATTTTTGTAAGAGACTGAAAAAAAGGCCAGGCTAGATCTAATAAAGCCACAAGATGCTGCTTCCTAATTGCAGACCTTTATTTGTCTCGTTTCAAGGGCTGCCTCCTCTCCAGCATCAACAAAACAAGCAATTTTCCTATACTTACTAATTAATTCCTGGGGAACTCAGTAACCAAGGGCAGCTAAACAATGGTGTACCTGTTGGTGTCCAGAGCTCCCCATTTCATCATGGGATGTGTGTGGTGTACATGCACGTGCAGGAGGGACATGCCTAGCCCACTGTGCGTGCGCAGCCCATTCATGTAGGGCTTTCGTGGTGGCTGTGCGATGCTGGACCACCTGAGTGTTTCACCAGGGCCTGCCTGCCAGCAAGGACTGACATGTTTGCAGGAGCCTCAGGAGGCAGCAGGACATCTGAAGACCCCAGATGTCTCGAGTCTTCAGACTGGGCTGTGACAAGAGTCCCAGGTGGTAGAAGAGCCTGCGACATTGGTCTGATCCTTCTCAGATTATGATTTTCCTTTCCGTGTCTTTTTAAGGGTCGGTACAGTGAGACACGCTCTGTTCCAAACCCAGAGAAAGTTCAAAATGAAGGAATACGCAAAATTACCTTGTCATTTTTCCAGCTGCTGATGTACGTAGTTCCACTGGTGCCAGTGTGGACTCCATGACTGCTCCTCTCAAGCACACCTTCAGGTGTCCTTTCGCACTCCCAGAGTGGCAGAAGACAGGTATTTCCGTTTCAAGACAGAGAGCAACTGAGAGGCAAACCCCTATGAGATCATGCAATGCATTTCTCCTGTTGCACAGAGCTGTTTCTCCCAGAGCTGACTCTCCATCTCCCGTGGACAGACTGCTGTTAGAGGTGGGCCCTTTGTGCGGGCGTGCCCCACGGAGCAGACGCGTCCCATGGACCAGGCACTCTTGGGTGCCATGCAGAGAGCGTGAGCCAGCAGCAGTCCTGTCGCTCATTCTTCCACCACCACGGAGCCTTGCGGTGGGGGTGGTGGGCAGCTGGCACGGGGCAGAGCAGACCCCGATGGACCATCGGGGTGATGGGGAGCTGGCATAGGGCAGAGCAGACCCCAATGGACCATTGGGATGGTGGTCAGCTGGCGTGGGGCAGAGCAGACTCCGATGGACCACCAGGGTGATGGCTGTGGCTGCCTGCAGTAGCACCCTGAGGAAACGCCTCCGTGGCAGCTTCTGTGTGTCCGTAGGGCGTTCTTATACAGCCAAAGCAGGGTGTTACTTGGGTAATAGTCCGTTTTTGCTGGTAAAATTTTTTGCTTTAAACTCTCAGTGTGGCACGGGTTGCCCAGAGGGGTTGTAGAGTCTCTGTCCATGGAGATATTTAAGACCTGATGGCA